GCCGCGTGGTCAACGTGGCCAGCGTGATGGGCCGTGTGTCCTTCTTTGGTGGTGGGTACTGCATCTCCAAGTACGGCGTGGAGGCTTTCTCTGACAGCCTCAGGTAAGTCTGACCCAACAAATTCCATCCTGATTTCCCAATTTGTTTTTCTGGACTTTGTTTGGCACAGTTGTCAACTCCCATCCTCACGCAACTGAGCACAGGTTAAATTCCTATCTGCTGGTGAGGTGTGAACAGCTCCTTTACTGGCATGGAGCCTCCCCTGTGGACATTGCCCCTGCCCGAGATCCTGCAGGATGTGGCCCCTCTCTCCCGAGCTTTGCTTTGTTCCCAACCCGTCCAGATGTGGCAGATGTTTACTGACACTCTGTCTCAGCCATGTGCCAGGCTGGCTCAGAGTTCACTGGCGTGGTCAGGCTCCTTCCCACGCTTCTGGCACGAGGCTGCATCCCATGGGAGATGTTGTGGTGCTCTGGTGCTGCTCCCATGTTCCAAAGGATTGAATCCCTTCCAGGCTCGAGATGAACAAGTTCGGGGTGAAGGTCTGTGTGATCGAGCCGGGCTACTTCAAAACAATGATCACCAACACTGACAACCTGGAGAAGAATTTTCATTCCATCTGGAATAAGCTTCCAGAGGAAATCAAAGCGAGTTACGGGGAGGATTACTTGAGGAGGCGTAAGTACCTCCCCCAAAGGCTGAGTGATCCTCTTTCTCTCCTGACACAAGGCACATCCCCAGGGCCACGAGGCTCCCATGGGGGGTCCCAGTGCTCCAAAACCCCATGGAGCCACTTGGCTCTGCTCAGCTCCAGGGTCTCAGTGGCATTTTCTGCCTCTGCAGTTGTGTCAACGCTCAAGGTGATGGAGAAGACCTACAACACCGACCTGTCGCTGGTCACCAACTGCATGGAGCACGCTCTGACCAGCCTCCACCCACGCTACCGCTACTCCGCCGGCTGGGACGCCAAGCTGCTCTACCTCCCCATCAGCTACCTGCCCTCAGCCTTCAGTGACGCCTTGTTCAGCCTATTCTACCCCAAATCTGTTGGGAAAGCCTAAGGTGGGGATGCAGCGGGCAGCCAAGAGCAGAGTGGGATCCAATGGCACACAGTGGGATCCAGAATTGGCTACAGCCAAGGCCACACCGAAGTTCCTGAATTTGTAACTGCATGTATGTCTGACCCTCTGTCCCCTGCTCATGATGGGTTTGTCCTGAATAAAGACCCCCTGTCCCCTCCTGGCTGAGCTTGGTGTCACTCTCAGGCTGTGGCACCGAGGCTGTGCCTGGAGGCTCTGGCTGTTCCCCTGAGCACCTGCTGTGCTCAGGGTTCAGTCCCTGACAAGTTGCCAAGGGACTTTCCCAGACTGGCACCCCAGGTATTGACACACGCAAGTCAAACTCAGACCTGTTCCGACTTGCGCAGATTTCCCTCTAGGCAAAGAACCGAGCAGCCTCTTACACAATCCTCCTCCTCTGCTTCCCCTTCCTCCTCCTGCTCCTCCTCCTCCTGCTCCTCCTCCTCCTCCTCCTCCTCCAGACCTGGCTGTGGGAGGCTGTCCTGCTCCATCACCACATCTGGGGACACCGTCCCCCACCAACACTGGGTGAGAGGGAAAGGTCCAGGGCTGGTGCTGCTGGCAGTGTCTGCAGGGTTCCACAAAATCCAGCTCCATGGGGCACGGGGATGCACCTGCTAAGGGCACAGCAGAGGCCCGGGCACAGGGAGTGATGCAAAGCAAAGCCGGGGATTACAAAAATTAAAATCCAGGAGGACAAAATTCGCCCGGGGTGCTGCCGCAATCCTGGCTCTATAAATG